AAATTGCTGGTCAAGTAATGTATAACCCCTCCCCCCCCAACCAAACCCTAAATGGCTGAGTCAAGTAATTGATGTAAGTAGAATGATCCCTCCCCCCCAACCAAACCCTAAATGGCTGAGTCAAAGTAATGATGTAAGTAGAATGATCCCCCCCAAACAAAACCTAAATGGCTGAGTCAAGTAATGATGTAAGTAGAATGACCCCTCCCCTCCAAACAAACCCTACATGCCTGACTCAAGGAATGATGTAAGTAGAATGACCCCTCCCCCCAACCAAACCCTAAATGGCTGAGTCAAGTAATGATGTAAGTCGAATGATCCCTCCCCCCAACCAAACCCTAAATGGCTGAGTCAAGTAATGATGTAAGTAGAATGATCCCTCCCCCCAACCAAACCCTAAATGGCGGAGTCAAGTAATGATGTAAGTAGAATGACCCCTCCCCCCAACAAACCCCAAATGGCTGAGTCAAGGAATGATGTAAGTAGAATGATCCCCTCCCCCCAAACCAAACCCTAAATGGCTGAGTCAAGTAATGATGTAAGTAGAATGATCCCTCCCCCCCAACCAAACCCTAAATGGCTGAGTCAAGTAATGATGTAAGTAGAATGATCCCTCCCCCCAACCAAACCCTAAATGGCTGAGTCAAGTAATGATCTAAGTTGAATGATCCCTCCCCCCCAACCAAACCCTAAATGGCTGAGTCAAGTAATGATGTAAGTAGAATGATCCCTCCCCCCCAACCAAACCCTAAATGGCTGAGTCAAGTAATGATGTAAGTAGAATGATCCCTCCCCCCCAACCAAACCCTAAGTGGCTGAGTCTGAGTCAAGTAATGAGTCAAGTAATGATTAAGAATGATCCCTCCCCCCCAACCAAACCCTAAATGGCTGAGTCAAGTAATGATGTAAGTAGAATGTTCCCTCCCCCCCAACCAAACCCTAAATGGCTGAGTCAAGTAATGATCTAAGTTGAATGATCCCTCCCCCCCAACCAAACCCTAAATGGCTGAGTCAAGTAATGATCTAAGTTGGATGATCCCTCCCCCCCAACCAAACCCTAAATGGCTGAGTCAAGTAATGATGTAAGTAGAATGATCCCTCCCCCCCAACCAAACAATTGCATGTTGGAGAGTTTTTAAAGGAGACAATTGCATGGTGGAACGCAGGGGGGGTGAGAGTGTTTAAAGGAATAGGGTCGCAAGTGACCGTTTTTTAGGGTCGCAAGTGACCGGGGATTTTAGGGTCACAAGTGACCGTTTTTTAGGGTCGCAAGTGACCATGGACCCCTCGGATGAAGGGCACTGAGCGTTGGCCAAGTCAGCACCATGGGAGAACAGAATGGCAAGATTGAATGTGACTGGATAACGGAATTACCATTTCCAAAATTCACCAGAGAGCAAATGCTTTCGATCGGATAATCTGTTCGAAGAACAGAATAAGATGAGGCGTTTACGGGCAAGACAGATTTTTTAGTCCTGTTGGTTCCAAAGACGGGGATTGCCAGAATCCGACCAACATGTTTCAAACTATATAGTCTACTCATGTCTACTCGAACATGAAATTATACCATGGCCGTATTCCGCACGTTGGCAAAAGCAGAACTAAGTAGACATGCGACCGAATTCCAATGAATTCCATAGGTTTAGGTGCGACAGGTGCGACAGGTGCGACAGGTGCGATGGTGTACCAAGATGTACCAAGGCTATTTCAGTTTTGAGCGGCAACCACCTTTCCCAGCTTCGACCATCTTCGACCTTTTGCATCTGCTGAAAAACACAACCTAAAGACAAAGTGATACAGCGTGCCTTACCAAAGTTGTGGGATTTGTGGGTCGGGTAATCCCCAAAAAAATTGGCCGAGTCGCCGACAGTCGCCGACAGTCGTTGTGAGGTCCTCCAGACTTTCATGCAGACAGATGCCGGAGTGGTGCAGATCACAGCAGTTTTGCCTTCAGCCTTTCCGGCAGAGCAGCAGATGGTTTTGACCTCCGGCTCGGATGCACGTGTGGAGGCGACTGGGAGGCTGTTGTAATGTAGTGACTTAAGGAGGTACTTCCGGAACACCAACCAATCACCGCGGGTGGTGCCATTCAAATGTGTTTAAGTGCAGAAACAACTCCTCAAGTTTTTGCGAATGCCTGGCTTTGTATTTGCAAACACTTGCTGAAGTGAATGTGCTCATTCCTTTTCACATGTCTACTGCAAGTGAGTGAACACTGATGATGCAGGAAGGGCTGATCTGTGGCCAAACGCTGAACTTGTCTTCATTTGGGTGTGCGGTGTACTTGGTTACTATGCTCATGCTGAAAAAACAACAATGAGTGGTTTTTGGACCATGGCTGCCATGGCCCGTGAGCAGAAATCGAGCAACACACCGACTTGGTTTAAGATGCTTTAAGATGCTGCCAGGTCGTTGGCCACGTGATTCATCAAGCCTCCGAGTTGACTTCTGGGCCCATTATGGTGAGCACAACCAGCATGCGTCTTGGCTGCGAAAAACCAAAGGTGCCAAGATGGGTTCAGATGGGTTCAAACGGCCCAATATCTTTGGGGCGTTTGGGGCCATGAAAACTAGCTATGATATTGGGGTTCACCAGGGTACCACCGGTTTTGACCTAGAGCGTGCCTCAATTCCCAGTTAAAAGAGATCATTTCCGAATTTAACCTTTCCAATTTCCAAGACGTCGGTGAACTGAAGACATTTTGATTTCATGCCCCAACGACCGTATGAGTTCTATGAGCACCAGAGGGGACATGGCCAGGACCGAAGATGTAGCCACCAAGTTCACGGACAGCAGCATTGCAGGACGGTCATGGCATCACCGAATTGCTTCAAGGGAAGATTTACAGGAATCCCACGGAACCCCTTACCCATCCTTACCCTCCAAATATGGCAATGGACAATCCCAGTGTCAAAAAATCCTTCCGAGATTCGACAGGACTGGGTTCTACCCTCCGATCCAAGCCCTTGAGCCGCTTGGACCGCTTGGACACATGGCTTTGTGGGCTTTTACACCAGTTGGAAACTGGTTCCCATTGTTTCTTTAGTGGTTCCCCAGTGGTTACCCCATTGACACGGTGTCAAGGTATCAATCTGCGGCGCAACGATGGCAGTGCATTGAACATGAAGAATCTACGCGAACCAATGGGAATGGTCATGAAGGTCAGTGGTGAGGCGAGGCCATGAGCTGAAACAGTAAGAGGTGACGGGGTCGTACCAGAACTCAGACAGCAAAAGGATGGACATCATGGCTATAAACTTTAAACGTCACCCTTTGAACACATTCCAAGCATTTCCAATAGCTATGTACAAAAGATTACAAAAGTATCGTCTTGTATCATATCTTGTATCACTTCGCAAAATTGTAAAATCACTCAACTACCTTTATTTGGGACGCTTTTCAAAGGGACGCTTAAACTTCCGAGGAGAACGTGACATGTGCCTATTGGGACGAGGAGGAGCACCGCTGGTCCATCCAGGGCGTGACGACCATCGGAACCAGCAACGGTGAGCTCCGCTGTGAGACGACGCATTTGTCCATCTTTGCGGGAGCGCCTCGGTTCATCTCGGTTCGTTTTATGCGATTGCAATGGCTTCGGGGATTATTGTGGGGTTATACTAATGGTTATCATTGGTGATCTATTTACGATTATTTATGTCATGATTCTACAGCTAAATATATATATAGGGGGTACAAACATCTCCCTGAACCAAGAATGGGCATAATTCTGTGCTCTTAACTGTCTTAACTGTTCCCATACTGTTCCCCATTTGAAAACCAAATTATCTTTGAGTGATGTAGCTCCAGAGATCGAGCAAAACAAATCTGAACCGTCGCTGAGGTGGTGATGGCCGTACAGTTCCTGCAGGACCAAAACATCCGACACTTCCAAAAGGTCAACAAATGATTCAGTGAAGACTGAAGACTTCCAGTATACAGTCATCTCATGGACGATCATCGTTACAATCCATCTCTACTGTAAAAGAGATGCATAAGAGATGCAAATCGCATGCTTTGCCGTACATGGGTCGGCCCGGCGAACATCTCCGCCCCAGTGAAACGAGGACGCTGTCTCAATTGATTGCGAGATCACGGGCAGTTGGTCGGCGGATGGCATGGCAGCGTTGTTCGACTCCGAAACGACATCGAAACTCCTTGGAGACTTGGCATTGCGATGCATTGCGTATTGTCGTAGCATGCTAGGACTCAGTTGCAAGGCCACCGGCATTCTGGAGGGAAGCAAGATGAGTTCCAAGACATTCCGTTGATATTTGATGGGGGTTGGTGCTGGGGTTGGTGCTGGGGTTGGAGCTTGTGGGCTGCGGTGAATGGTGTGTAAATGGCCTAGCTAAGGAACCCAATGGATGTCATCTGCTGGAGGTGTTTGTCTGTTCGTTGCTCTTTCCTTGCTGCTTGTTTGCATTCTTTACCCTCCGGTAATCAAACGTGGGAGATTTCTAGCTGGGACAACCAGTGGAGTGTCCAGCACGCCATGATGTAAATTCTGGGCTGATATTCCTACAGGCTTGGTCAAGATTGGTCAAGAGATCAACGGTGTGGCTTGGGCTGTGTTGCAACCAACTGAACGTTGCAAGAGATTGTGATATCCCACAGCTAAAAGATGCGTCATCATCGAACACTTGGGACCGATCTTACAGCAGGGGGATGGGATAACATGGGATAACCAAACCATATCAATCCATTTACCCTCTGGTAAACTAACATAGCTATTGAACATTGCCATTTATAGTGGATTTACCCATTAAAAATGGTGATTTTCCATAGCTATGTTAAATTACCAGAGGGTATGTTTGGTCTATGTGTGTTATATTCTTTATTATGGTTTCTTCGCCCTCAGCCTCAATTTTTGAAGTTATATATATATTATATATATCCATCTGCCATCTACTAGGTCTCCTGACGAATTGAGCCGGTAAAGCTATACCTATCCCATCTCATTATACTAGTTGGTTGAAAACGGTTTCCCTAATATGGGTTAGTTCAGAATGGCCAATATCCGAGGTAGTATAGAACTCCCTATAACCAATCAACAGGTATAACTCCCTATAGATTAAACTAATCCCATTAAATCTAATCAAATCCCATTAAAACATCATTGCAACCCAGTGGAACCCATTAAAACCCATTGAATCCCATTAATCATCCCATTCAAATCAAGCACCACTAAACCCATGAAAACACCATTCACCAAGGCTATACCTTTCATGGTTCAATTCTTTGGGCCGAAATCGCTGCAGAGGTTCGTTTTGGCCGTCGCCTGGGGAATGCATCGTCAGCAGCGACAGGACGACGAGGTGGTGAAGGATACAGTGCTGAACAGATCCACCGGCAAGGCGCCGGGTGGGAAGAATGGGAAGGGTGTCACCAATGTGGTTAGTAAAGGATGGGATATAATGGGTACATAACTTTAAAGGATATGATACATACATACATATATATATATAATCAACTGTATATATTACTATTATGATTCATTATTATACTCTTATTACTGTTATCATTATTATGATGATTATTATATATAGATATAGATTGATGTATGATATATGCATATGGTGGGATACAATGGCGTGTCTGAAAAAAGATTTCTACTTCCAAATATGGTCATTTCATGGGGGTAATGATGATTAAATAAAGGATGGAATTATACCCAAACACCTTCGATCTTTGAACGTGCTTGCGTCTAGAACTACATTGTCTAGATACTTTCAAAGTAGAGGCGTGTTCATTCTGCGGTGCCGTTTAGGTTTCTGGACATTTAATCGTTGGATCAGAAGCATGTCATTTGCCAAGAGCAACACAAGAGGTGGTCTTGAGACCTTTCAAGAGTAAATCCCACCATAGTTTCTAGGTGTATTTTCTTGAAGGGCATTTTGCGCTTGTAGTCAGATCCGACAAATCAATTTGCTGCTACAGGCAGATATGACCTCAGAGTCAGCTGTTGGAGCATGTCTTCAAGCTGTCCAGAGTTACAGGAGAGCCGAATTTCCGGGAGAAGTGACGTTTTTGTTAGGAAACCACCCATGTTTGACGCCCAAAAATGAAGAATGTCGAAGGGGATGGGTTGCCCGAGTTTTCGGACCTCTGCGTTTTGTGTTATGTTTGGGCGGTCCTGAGTTTTGGAGACATGTTTTTTCCGTCTTGTTTTGCACGTTTTCTGGTTTGAGTCATAGTTTCTATTGGTCTTTAATCTCCAGCACTAATTTGCCCCCACCAGGACTGGCCTGGAGCTGGAGACTCTCAAGGCAGGATTTCGCCTAAAAAATGGAAATGATGTGGGACATTGTGAGACCCATGATCCAAGCGAGTTGTTGCTGTTGTTGCTGCTGCTGTTGTTGTTGTTGTTGTTAAAAAAAAAACTATTTCACCAAATTTCACCATATTTTTTCACCAATGATCAATGATGGAAGTGGACAATGATCACTGTGTCAGATCACAACTTCTCCAGGCTCTCAATGGCGGTGTGGGACCTCATCGATCACGCTACAGTGCTGGAGATGCTGCTGGGCGGAGAAGTCACAGGAACCCCCTATATTTTTTGGTGTAAAAAGACCAGGGTCTTCCGTAGATTCCCTTAAATCAATCCAATGAAGATTGGATGATTGGGTCGTGAGTCATGTTCTATTCACTTTTCCATCTTTTGAAAAGTTTACGACTGGATCCACCCCAACTGATTCTCTGCCAGACGCTGTTAAACGATGGGTTGTGTGTCGTAAACGGCCGCCTCAGCCCTGACACACAGTCACTGGGGCCGTCCCCAAGAATTAAAGTTAGCGGATGAATGCTGTGAATTGCAATTGCAATTGCAAGAGACTTTTTTGCACCAGGGTTCACCTGGAAGAGTTGTCAAACTATCTGTGTCTAGCACTTTGTTGCAGAGCAATGTTGGAGTTTTTTGGAGTTCATCCCTTGATTTTCACAGGAACACCGAAAATTTCCCAAGGATGATTCCAGAGGGCGACGTCCCAGTCTACAGGATATGCGCAGAGACTCGAATGCTTGGGACGTGTCGGTGAGGCACTTTGGTCTGGGCCAAGGGCTGTCGGAAAAGTCCCGGGAATTGCCGGGAATATATTAGAAGAATGGGATTTCCTTTGCAAAATGGACAGGATATTGCAAAACCATGCAAAACCCATGGAGGTTTCAGAAGATTCACTGCATGCATTTGCCTTTTTCTACTGCGATTGAGTGGCATCAGCATTATGCAGGTTGCAAGATCTTCCCCAGCTGAAGTATTTCTTCCAAAACTATGAGATCTCTCGGCATCGGCGTGACCTTGGCAGCACCCAGTTGGATGGTGACAGCACGGGGATTGCAGGGTGGCTGATGGGAAGGTGGTGGTCAGTATGATTTGTAGGTCATTGATGTCATTGTTTAGAGACTGTTTTAGCTTGTTTATGTTTCTTGCAGCAGACGTATACAGTGATTAGAGGTGATTGCACATCAGTGATTATAGTGATTATAGATGATTACATTATATATCATTATATATCATTATATATCATTATATATCATTATATATCATTATATATCATTATATATCATTATATATCATTATATATCATTATATATCATTATATATAATTATATATCATTATATATCATTATATATCATTACATATCATTATATATCATTATATATCATTATATATCATTATATATCATTATATATCATTATATATCATTATATATCATTATATATCATTATATATCATTATATATCATTATATATCATTATATATCATTATATAGCATTATATATCATTATATATCATTGTTATAGATTATGGTGTTAGATTGTGTGAGTATACTGTGGGTGATGGTGTTGAGCCGTTCAATTTAGATGCCACGAAAAATTCTGAGGTCGTTCCGCAGAGGACTTCCTGGATGCGCCCTGGCCGGCGCGAGTGTTGATGATGCGTCTCGGTTGCAGCTCCCAAATCCTCCAAATTGCGAGTGTTGAAGTAGTGAAACAGAAATGGGACCTTGAGGGACCCTAAGGCCCTGAGAAACCATACGATGTGCCAAAGATCATCAAATATCATCAAATATTGATTATTTCCATCGCTGATTGCTTATAACTTATGACTTTCTGGGCCGAAGATAGAGAAGCTCCAAAAGTCATCGATGCCTTCCATGCCAGCCTCAGGGTTCCCCGCCCCCCACAGCAGTGCCACAGCACCTAAGGTTCAAAGCAGTTCACAGCTGGCTGGCAGTGGGTCGGTTCAACCTCTTCACAACGAAGTGTGAGCGTCTGCTGTCTTTTGAAGAGACCCAGTATTTTGTGATATTTTGTTTAATGTTTTGGGCTTATTGGACCATCTGATCTGGCCTGCGAATAGCTGGCCAGAGGAACGAACAGCAAGCCGTGCGCGATAATGTTTTGGGTTTATGGAGATTGAGTTTGTGCTTCCGATTTGCGGTTCCAGTTCCCTTTTGCTCTTGGCAACACTAGAAGCAAAATGGCTCTATCTCAGACTCCATATAGCGCATTCATTGAGACTGAGCAGACTGAGGTATCTGTTTGATCGGATTCAAACTCTTCACTGCTGCGGCTTTGAACGCCCTCACTCTTTCAGGGATGCCTGTACTTCCTGCAGCTCAGATTAAAGGGGCTCCTGTCAGCTTGTTTTCTGGTGGTGAGAATCCTGTTGGTCAAGGAATTGTCCTTCCAACTGCATGGAATTTCGCAGAAACGGAAGTCATACAGCAGGTAGGTGAAATGGGCTTTCGCATATCATCATCGAAGGTATCACACGATGGTCTCAGCGGAAAGGTTTTGACCACTTGTCATAGTCTTCGGGTCCATCGACAGATACTGTAGTGACTCAGTAGTGACTATAGTGACTGTAGCAAACCAATGTGTCCTTCCAACAGTTGAGGGCTTGACCCTGATTTGATGAGGATTGCGCAGTGGAGTTGGGACTTGCACCCTTTGGCTTTGTATTTGGCTTGCACTTAGTGAGACATACCTGCAGCAGTTGCTGTTTGCAGAAAGCGGTCACCAGGGTTGTACTTGTTGCAAAATGGCAAGGATGCTGCACCTTTTTTGTTATTTCTCAATCTGAGTGAGTTGGCTCAAGGAAATCTCACTTCAACTTGTACAAGATGATTTGAGATAAATTAAAAATCACCTATGAAAAGATATGAAAAGACGATTTATCATGATTTATCAACTTAAACAGATGCTGAATTGCGAGAAATTGAGGTTGAAGCCATGTTGGTGGGACTTGCATCTGCCTGTGTGGCGGATCTCTTTGGACTTCTACAGATGGTGCTGAGACAGCGCAGCGGATGGGTGAGCTGGGCATCTTGGAACATCCCCAAGGGGATCATCCCCTTGGAACACCTGGGTTTCACTGGGAAAATCCATCCGACATATTCAAGAATTCAACATTGGAGGGATGAGCAAATCAAGGATTTTCCATGATTTTCCAGCGATGTTTGATTGGTGAAGGGTAAAAGATGGATTAGGAAGATGGATTTTCTATTTGGATATCTCCAATTTTTCTTGGTTTGGTCTTAGATTTCTGGGTTGCAGATCAATTTTGAAGATCTGCTCCTCGAGTCTTGCAGGTAGTTTGGTTGCTGCTGATGGCCTTAGCACTATTCTGCTGCATTGCCTATCTGGCCACCGATGGAGAGCACTGGCTTGAAAGCACCTTTTCAAGCCTCTTTCAGGACCGCAGCTTGGTGGTGGCAGTGGGACCATGTGAGACCATTCCCACTCTCGACCATTGCGGCATTCGGTCGCAAATGGAGCCGTTTGGAAGAAAGTGTGACTTAGAGAGAACTTGAACGTCAGATTTGCGGCAAAACCAAAGCCTACTGAGTAGTACTCGTACTGTTTTGTGGAGTGCAGTACTGGTTAGTATCTCGTAGTGGATCGCTGACACGACGTCGCCATAGGTTCGCTGGGGTTTCTCCATCCCTTTGACCACCATGAATGAACTAATGCGACTGGACAGGTTTTCCCCGTGTTTTTTACCCACCAAGAACCACTCTGATTGGATCTGGTTGGGTTGTTTTGCAACTTCCCATTCCGAGAACTCTTTGAAGGGAAGTTTGCAGGAAACCACATATATATAATATATATATATGATTATATATATACAAAAAATATTTGATGGTCAAATAACAACCATGGTTCAAAGTTTAAAGCAACCATTGTTCCCGGTTTTTATTTTTTCTCCAATCCATTGTTCACATCTTGGAATTCTTGGATTTCTTGGTGAATTCCACGATGGTTGATGCTTAAATCATCTTAAATCCCCATGGAATGGTTGACCAGTTGACCTCCCCATAAAGTGATGACGGCAGGAGCTGCTTCTGCAGCCCCTGGGCTTGGCCATGTTCTTGGTGACGCGAGCCTCGCTGGCGCTGAAGAATCCGGAAGTCGTGGAAGTCGTGGTGAAGAAATGGGTGGAAGTGGAGGCGGAGTCCCATGGGAGTCCCATTGGATGGTTGGAAGATGTTGGAAATATGTCGATTATGTTGGAATCCAATGGAATCCAGAGATGAAAATTTAGATATTAATTTTTAGATCATCTTTAAGATCCTATAGGGGCCCCTATATAAAGACTTTTTTTGTAGACCTAGGACCTAGTGGAGAGGGATTTTTTTGAAGCTGTGAGATCAGTGAGATCTGAGATCTTTTTTCGCTTCAAATGGATCTGGTTTTTTTCAGCTCATTTGAATCTGACTGTTTTTTTTCATTCACTCTTGGATTCCTCTTGGGATGAGATTGGTATCAGATGGTCATCCAGTCATCCCCTCTCTCTCCCCCGCAGGATGTCGAAACATCACCAGGCGCCAGCATCAATCCTGGGTTAGCCAATTCCTGGTTGGTTTATATGTGTATCATTTAGTGGATACTAAATTCTGGATACATGCTATTGAGATACCTTCTAGATGTATCACATAGTATGTCTTTTACATATAATATACAGTACTATAATATATATATATAATATTATATAATTATATATAGTAATAAATGTAAATATATTATATACATATTATGTACGCACTACATGTCACATGATCCGACCCTTCGTTCGAGAATCCCTATGTCGCCAGGTCGCCAACCTCAACAGGTGCTGCAGATTCTGCCGGCCGCGCCCGCCCGGTCCAGCCATGCCCGGTCCAGCGCCCGTGTGTCGGCGCAGGCGCCCCACTTGGCCAGGGCCTGGGCCTGGAATCATAGCCATTTTATGGGGAATTCATTGAATTCATGGGGAAAGTTATGATCACTCAATAAGATGAAGAAGCATAATTTTCCCACTTTGGATTTTCGGGGTATCTGAGTTTTGAAGAACCTTCGCTTGGGCGTGAAAAAAACGGTTGATGAGCACGAATATCCACAGTGTCAAGTGACCTCTGCCAGGGAGACATTGCACTGCAGCTGGTGGGCAGCAGCCAAAGCAGCCAGAAACGTGCCTTGTCATCGTCAGAGATGTCCGACTGACAGATCAGTTAAAGGTGATTTTATGCTTATTTTATGGTGATTTGGTGATGATTTGTTTTGTCATCCTATGTCATCGTCATGATCAATTTCAGGCGAAGTCTTGGAGGCGAAGAGTGTGGCGTATCAAAGGGCCTATGAGAGACCCGGCAGATGGTGGAACAGATGTGTCACTCAAAAGGGAACAACGCTTTTGGATATTTTTTGGGGTTCAAAATGGTTAAAAACCCAGTGGGATTTCTGAAAAACGCCTCAGTTAGAATGATAATGTATGAGAAGTAAGACTAAGACCATCTCCAATATACTGTGTTTGTGTATAATATGAGATTGTCCAGTCACTGCTGTGGATTGTATCAAGTGCAGTAGGTAAGCAACATATTTTTTGCTGAAGGATTGCCTGTGACTAATGATCCAGGAGAGTTCATTCGCATCTTCTCCCAAGAAATCACTTCTCCCAAATCCTATTTCTTTTCATATTCCCTTGCCAAATATGATTGATCATACTGTAAATGATTTTGATATCTTAACAACAATAGAGTCACTATATGGACATTCCAATATTGTCTCAGAACAGGTGCCTTGACTCCCAAAAAAGGCCATGCCCATGGCCAACTGGCCGGCCAAGGAGCGCCATTGAAGAGGGCCTCAGCAAGAAAGAGGCTAAGGCCTTGGCCAAGGAGGCCTTCCGCATGGCCCAATTGGAGGAGTCCCCGGGGGAGCTCTTGCTGCAGGAAGCCAAAAGGTGGGATGGCAGCTGGCGGCTGGGCGGCTGGAAAAAATATGTGCTTTGGAATCGTGGTAAAGGTTGTTGAGTTTTTTTGGGGCCAAAATTATCCACCAGGTACAGTTTTCCCGACATATCCACAGGTTTGGATGATACCTAGTAAAACCATGCCTCGATCCAACTGGTCAGGGGCTTAATCCTTTCCACGTCAGGCACAGAATGGTAGAGAAGAGCTCTGCCTACCACCAGGCGTACAAGGAAGCCGTTGAGGACCGCACCGGAAACCTTTCAACAAACAGTAAGCACTCTCAAGTCGACAGCTGGATGCACATCTACATTTTTGTATAGATGGACATTCCACTATAGACTATACACATGATGTACAATTATCTATATATTAATATAATACATAATAGTAGAAATATTACGACCCCTATACCACCACTGTATATACTAGTATTAGTTCACTCCACACTGTAGCTATGATTCCAACTTACTAATGATGTTGTACAGTCATCGCAATTCCAACATTCAATGTATATAGCCATGTACATAGTAACGGTAGCATTATCCCCAATCCAGTCGGGTTTAATGCCATAATCCGTAATTACATGGCTCAAGTGCCGAGCAAAAAGTAGGCGCTTGTCAGATCTATGGGACAAGGGAGTTTAAACTGTTGTTGGTTGTTTTCCCCCTTGTTTCTCTGGTTATCAGCCGTATTGGCTTAGTGTTCCTTTGCTGGGAAAGTCTTAAACTCCCTTGTCGGTAACTTAGGCCCCACGCAACCTCGTTCACTGCCTTTCACTTTTCGCTGATTTCCTGTTTCACCTTTTTATGGTACCAGAGGGTCTGTTGGAGGAGGCTGCTTTGAGCGCCTCCGTACCGGTTGCCGAAGGGAACCCGGAAGCAGAGGCGGAAGCTGCTGAAAGCGCTGAAGTCACTGTTGAAGGAAGTACCGGGTTCAACTGCGCAGACGCCTCTGAGGACCCGCCCGTGCTGTCTGCTGAATTTAACGTGGGAGGGGCTGCGTCCAGCGCCCTAGAGGACGACGACGAGGACTTCGACATCTTGAAGTTTGACGCACTGTCCCTTTTGGATCCAAAACCGGAGGAAGTGGTCACTACTGAACAGTTGTTCGAAGCACTTGAGGCCGACCTCGATCCCACCGCCGAGCCAGCCGAACAGCTTGAGGCATCCGAACAAGTCGAAGCAGAAAATAATCTCGAAGGTGATAACCCCGAAAATCTAATTCCAAAAGAAGAAGCTAATTTTTCCAATAACCCTGATCAGGAAACTAGTGCTGAGGTTCCAGACTCCGCCGCAGATCCGATTGTAGGAAGCTCTCCATCCGTAGTTGAGCCAGATCCTAATTCGACATTTGCTCCGGTATACGTCCAACACCTTGGAGGGGTAGCGGAAGAGGACGAAGTCCCGCCGCCCCCAACATCTCCGTTTCTTGAGCAGGAAGGGGCTGCCGCAGGCGCCTCAACAACTGGGCACGTCCAAACAGGCCATTCTCCTGCAGGACCGTCCAGAGGTCCCCGTGTACGTGGAACCAAAGGCGGGAAGAAAGCCCAGACCAAAAGGCTTATACAGCGTTGGCAATCCGACTTTGACAAACTAGCTGACTTTCTTTGGAACGAGGCAGAATTTTGGCTCAGGTACGTCCACCACTCAGAAGCATCCGCTGAACTGATCTGGACTGTCCGTGTCTTTAGAGTCCTCTACAATCATTGTACGCTAAATCAAATCTTAGTCCATCTTGCTAATACCTTTGCACCTTATAGAAATTGGGTTTTTACCAACGGATATCGAAAAGGTGAATTACATCTGGCTTCAGATACAGCTGCAAACACTGTGCTACCTGATAGGGAACACATCAACTTGCAAGCTTTTGGGGACCCAGATCCACCTAGATCCGTTTGGGACGACTACGATACTTATAGGGGTCCCCAACCAAAAGGTAAGGCAAAAGCCAAAGCTAGCGTGTTTACCCAAAATACTGAACTACCATCTGGATCCGAGCAAGCTACAGCATTAGGTGTTGACCCAGCAGTAGATAGGGGTGTTAGTTCTTCTGAAGCAACCCACACTCCATCACCAAGGGGCCCACCAAAGGCTAAAGCTAGGCCTAAGCCAGTGTCAGAACCTAAGGAGCCGAATCATCCACCGCCGTGGGTGCCATCCCTTCGACCTGCAGGCCATCAACCCGCTCCGAGAGTTTCAGAGTCCGTAGCCAGTGTTCCGCCGCCACGTACTACGGGAGGGGCTGCTGAAAAGCGCCCTAAACCTGAAAAGGCCGAGCAACCATCCGATCCAAAAGCATCCGGCAAAGCATCCGTGCCAGAACCGGCTGAGCCTAAAGCATCGGACCCCAAAGTTGCTAAGCCCCCTAAGGATAATCCTTTAAAAAGATTAGGATCCCCACCTAGTTATCCAGCACCATCCGTGCCTGCACATCGAGATTTCCACCAAACTTTAGGACCTCCTCCAAAGCGGCCGCCAAGAGCTGCAACGCCAAAAGGAGAAGGGGCTGCAACAGCGATCCCTCCGCCACCATCTCATCCACCGCCATCGGCGGCTGACTTGGATAAGGCAGAGCGTGGGAGACCACGTGAGAGAGCTGGCACACCCCCTGCCCGAACAGTTAAGGGTGGTAACATCGATAAGACCCCAGCTGCGTCAGCACCCGCTGCGCCTAAGCCAGTAAGCCGATCTAGATCACGGGTTCCAGTCAATCTCACCCCGAGAGCTGACGGTTCTTTTGCAGATCAGGACACTGAGGTGTTGCGCCGTGCAAGGGGTGGTAACTTGCGTACCCCTAGTCTTAGTTCCCGACCAATAGCCCTAAGACCCACTGATAATAATTATCCTCCTGTGATAATAAACTCTGAGGGCACTTGGGTGCGTATCTCAAAGCCGCCTGGCTCTGCAGGTAGGGAACCCACAACTGTTCCTGTTGCCATTCCTGGCACTGCTACATCATCCGTTGATCCACACGAACTTGCTGACGAAGTTTGGCGTGATCCGTCATTGGTTGGTAGCAACACTGCATTGGTATCCTCCCATAATACCCAGGTAATCCCAATCTCAGAACCTGAAGGCCTAGTTGCCGTTGATTCAGAAGCTGTAGAAGGGGTTGAAGAAGAAGAAGAAACTACAGTTCCTCCACCAAAAAGAAGGGCTATTGTTACAACAACTTCTTCTGGGCGTAGGCAGGTTTACCAATCTCGACGTAGATCAGTTCCTCAACCCGAACCAACATCAACTGCCGCTGCGCCAGGTGGGCCTCCATCTGAACCCGAGGCACCGGATGAGGACCCAGATCCCTTTGAAGGTGAACCAGAAGGTGAAGAGGAAGAGGATCACTCATCTGACCCTCCTGAAGCCCCTCCCGAGGGCGAGGAGGAAGTTGAGGTTGAAGTGGAAGTTGAGGAAGGGGCTGCTCCATTAGCGCCTCAAGAACCCAGCACTCCATCGCAGGCATCTCCGAAAGCTCCAACTACTAGAGGTAGTGTTAGTAGGTTTTTGTCACCCAGTGCAGAAGGTGCTGAACGTTCTAGATCTCGTCACAGGGACACAACAGCTGAGGAAGAGGCTCCAGTTGCCGTAACAACTTCTTCAACAAGAGTTTCAGGTACAATCCAAACCCAAATCTTTCGAGACGGCACCAAAGCCCAAGTTTTTGTACCTGATATCCCAAGACCTAAGACTCCTCCAAAATCTATAGGCTCACCACCACCAAGATCGTCATCACAGCCAGCTAGAGTTAAGCCGCCTCCACCCGGAGTTAGTGCAGCAAGTAGGTCCGCATCAGCAGTTCCACCCTGGCGGGAAGGGGCTGCACGTGCGCCCCAAGGAGGTCCTCCAATCAAAAAGAAGTATAAGGCTCCTCCTAGACCTCCCTATAACTACTCCGTAACTGTTGGCCAAGCTTACGAGCCAGGCGTAGATCCCGATCCTCCAGAGCCCACAGAGGAGGAACTTAACGCAGCTTGGGCCCGCTCCAAGGAGCATCAAGACAGGGCTTGGGAGCGACACGTGGAGTCGCTCGCAGATCGCAAGCATCGCCAAGCACTTGAGGCCTATCAACAGGAGGAAAAACAGAAGAGGAAGCACAATAAGGTGAAGCCACCTCCAAAGCAGCCTCCTATTGTTGTTCCACCTAGGCCAGAAAGACCTGTCCCAAAAGCCCATAAAACTGCATCCCCAAAACCTAGTCCACCACCGACACCAGTGTCGACGCCTCCAACACCACCTCCGCGACCACCTAAGGCGACTTCTACATCAACTGCATCCGTCCCTACTAGCGGTAAGGCAGGTGCTGCGATTCGCGCGCCAGGGGGTAGAATAGATTTAGGCCCTTTAATCCGAGCTCGCCAAGAGCAAGGTGTAGGTGGCAATAATCCAGTCGTGTTTTTCGATTGGCACGACACCCTCGATTGCGCTAGAAACGCCCTTGGTGTGTTTGATCGTTCCATTGTGGATAAGTTCGTGAACCTTGTACAGCTTGCACAGGGCAGGATCGAGTTCCACATTGTGTCTTTCTCCGGCGTTGCCCGTGGCCGCCAAACGGAAGAAGACGCCAACAATCTGGCGGAGTTCTGTAGGACACAAGGCCTTCCATTTAGGTCAGTGACTATAGTTAACGACCCAGTGGGTCCTGGGGGCAAGACACCCGTCCTTACATCTAGCGGCGCAAACATACATCTTGACGATCGTCAAGACGTCTGCGACGAGGCTGCACGCGCCAACATCTTTACGATTTGTGTATACAAGTCCCACACATTGAGTTGGTGGCCCCAATTGGAAAGTGCGGTCAAGGATAAGGGGGTGGATTACTTTTTGCGCAACCACGCGCCGGTGCCTTTGAGGGGAGACCAATTCTCTCGCCGTAGGAATTAGCTTTCTTGTGGCTTGAACTTCATCGGCATCCAACTACACATCCGGCGAGGCGGAAGGGGCTTGAGCAATTGCTCGCCCTTGTATAGTTTTGCCTCTCAGTGTCTTTCATTTTGCCTGAGGTTGTGCACCCGCACACCCAGTACCGCGTCTCATTTGACACACCCGTGTCTTTGGTCGTCTGTGTCTTGTCTTGTTGTTTCACTGGGAGGTGCTTGAGCATCCGCTCGCGCCAGGACCCATTCGTGCTGGTCCCGTGGTAAAAGATGCAATCTGGATTAACTCCACCAAGTGAGAGTTCAGGTGCAGATAGGTCTAGGAGCTCTCCAGAAGACCCCAAATTACCTAGTGGTACTAGAATACCTGCC